GTTCTCTGCTCTTCAGCTTTTGTTCTCCTAGATAATAACTCTCCACCCCCTGACTCCAAAAAACCAAGGGAACCCCCTCAGTCTGGAAACATGAGTAACATTCAAGCTTACACTGTGGTTACGACAACAAGCAATACCAACCTACACTTAGGTGTGGTATACATTAGATTTCAGTGCCCTGAATTTGATTGTCTTGAAGGTATAAACATACGCTCGCAGGATGATTCATTGCACATTTTCTGCAGTTAGAACTGCAACTGTGTCAGATTTCTCATAGTCAATTATAAATGCCCTATGTTGCCCTAAAAAACCCAACATGCTTTTAATTTGGGCCAAAACAGAGTGGGGGGAAAACACAGAGCCACAACACTGCCAACAGCCTGCAGGCCAGTTGAGTGTCTTGGCCTAATCTGCCAGGCCCGGTGAAATCTGAGAAGAGAAGAGAAGAGAAGCGAAAAGAAGCGAAGAGAAGAGAAGAGAAGAGAACAGAACAGAACAGAACAGCACAGAACAGAACAGAACAGCACAGAAAAGAACAGAAGAGAAAAGAAGACATACTAGGAACCCTGCATTCAGGTACTGTACGTGGGCTGTGGTGCAGGTAACGTAATCTATGTTCATCACAATCTGCGTATCTGCGTCCAACTGTATTTTTTTTTTAAAAACAGACACTAAATATGGGAAAGGAAACACTGATGAGGGAAACTGAGAGGAAGTCAAAGGCACTGAATGTTACAGTGAAAACACTGTTCTGTTTGCTGTGACCTGGTTGAGTAGAGCAGCATCTGCAACCCACATGAAATCTAAAAATACTCCCGCACCATTGACTGCTACTATGCCGTAGCCTCAGTAGGTAGATGAATAACTGTGTGTGTATGGTATGCTCGTGTGCATGTGTTAAAGTGGGAATGGGCTATGGGCTATATTCTGAGGTTTGCCACTGCCTCACTTACAAGCCTTTGCAGCAATTATGCTATTTAAACATTTTTTCAAATATGTTGCGAAGTGTGTAGTTGCATGTGTGTGTATGTGTGTGTGTGTGTGTTATAGGCAGACCACTGGGCTATGCAGTCCAAGCAGAGAGACACAAATTACAGTAAATGTTGAAAAGTGTGTGTTATTATATTAATGTTACCAGCAGCAAGAATAACAGCTAAAAGGTGTCATTCAGGTGTATTGCTTGTAATTTATTGTGCCTGCTTGTCTATAATGAATATGGCAGTAGTCTGTTGATATGTCATTCAAAAGAGAGGCATGGAAATCCGTCTGCCATGCTACTCACAGATGTGTGGCAGATGTTGCTAATGTCATTAATACAATTAATACAGTAAAGACTGTGGCTTCATCTACTGATCCTCACTGCTGTTACTATAATGTACAGTAACAGCAACACCAATCCACACACACACACACACACACACACACACACACACACACACACACACACACACACACACACAAATGTGAATGATTTGCAAATCTTTATCTCTAATATGCTTAAATATGAGGTTACCCAGTTACATGCAAAAACATAGGCGATGCATTGTATGACTTTTAGCAGTTTTGTGATTGCCATTTATCTGTAATATCTGTAATAATAATTTTCACTGTACAAAAATGTTGAGAAAATGAATTCCAGATTCATATTTAATTAGTAGATATGGGTTTTACTTAAAATAGTTGACTTTTACCAAAAGAAACCAAGAAGTCCTGATGAAACGACAAAATATGCATAGGCAATCTTACAAATACAAAGGTGTAGCCAAGAGTACTAACACTCAGTTTCTTTTACTTTGCATTTTTATGGATGGCAGACATAACAAAACTTAATTGAAAGGTTTACAAACAGTAGGTCACAGTAACCTATTTCACTTACTTGCTGTTTGAAATTGCCTATTATCGTGTCCTGCTGATGATAAGATTTTTGCACAGAACAAACCAATAATCTGACAGTTGTCCTTTGGTCTAATTATCAAAGATGCTCTCATCTGTGTTACAGTAATTGTGTTACTTGTAATTTACCAGATCCCTATCTGTCATAAATCCATGTTATAACCCTGCACTGGGCTTAGTGATTTTTCAATGTTCAGAAATATGTAAAGCCTCCCAGTTGCCTAAAATTATTATTAGTGGGCTTAGTTTCCTCACACACACACACACACACACACACACACACACACACACACACACACACACACACACACACACACACACACTGCAAGAGGGAAAACGGGGGCAGAGATCCATATTAAGAAAGGATATATCCAGCAGCAATCTGTTTTCTTCCATATCTCTCTCTCTCTCTCCTTGTTTCTCTCCTCCTGCACCTGCCTCGCCTCTCTCCTCCTGCATCGTTCTGCCGTTCACCGTACAGGTGCGAGCGAGGCGAACAGCGGCTCGTGCAGCTCCGCCAATTAGGAGCACTGAGCGTGACCACGTGAACAAATCCCGTTGTCTAAATTCCCGTTCAGCGGCGAGCAGCTCGGAGTGAGCGGCAGCGCTGAAAGCCACATTGAGAGGGAAGTAATAACGGAGCGGTGCTCAGGTAAATTGCTTTTTTTTTGTACTGGCTGTTGCTATACTTTTCCTGCCTCCATCCCCTCTCGGCAGCTCTGGTAGGACAGTGTGCGGTTCAGAAGCGGGGGCTCTGAGACAGGATGTCTTGGATTACATTTGCCGTCGCTTGCGGGTGACTCTCTGCTCTCCTCCGATCCGCGGACAGGACAAACAGCATCATCGGCTGGTTGCTCTGCCTGCACCGTCTGTGCATTGCAACTCAGCCACTCCGCTCCTCCCTCCCCCCTCTCCCTTTCTCCCCCTTGTCTCTCGCAGGCGCATGAGGCTATTGATAGTTGACAGAAGCCTCGTAATCCCTGGCTGATTTGGCCGACCGGCCACAGCCATTTGCGAAACAAGAATGTTGATTGAACTTTATTTTGCTTGGAGATTTGTTTTAATTGGTAACGCACGCATAGATTGACGCCTCGCAGGGGGTGGGGGAGAGTGTGAGAGGCTTCTTTTGGTGCTGCATGCAGCCAGGCAAGCAGAAGCGAGCTTTTATTGCTGAATTATTTATAAGACTGTCTGGGAGAGAGTAATGCTTCTCTTGGATGGAGAGAGAGTCGTGGTCAAGATGTAGGCTACTCTTTCCAGTCGTGATTTTTTACTTAAATTTAGCCTCTTTATTTATTTATTTATTTATTTATTTTTACTTTTTTTTTAGGAAATGTGTCCACTTCAAGCTACACTTAGGCTTTGTGCTTCCTTCTATTGTTTAATTAAATCACATTCGTCCTAAAACTATTACTGTGATACAATACAGATTGAGAACAGTGGTTGAATACATTTACTCAAGTAGGATTCTGTACTATGTGAATAATTATGTTATTATATTATATTATTAGCATAGTTTTATTCCACTATGTATATGACATCTTTAGTTTGCTATATTTACTTTGTAGATTCAGACTATTAATACAAAATATAATCAACCAATAAATTATGATCTACACTAATAGATTAGGCTACTGGAAGCTGCCCAGCAGAATCTCTATTTATAATGTTAAAATATAGTATGTACTATACTGAAATGGGCCAGTCCTTTACTTTTGTTAGGCTTTTTAAAGTATGCTAATACTTTTGTTCTTTTAGCTAACAGTTTGAATGCAGGACATGCACTTATAACAGAATGGTATTGTGGTATATGGTGTACTCTTCTTTATTATTTTATTTGAGCCTATTTATTTGTTTATTTATTTTGTCTTGTTTGCGTTAATTTTCCACAAATATGCCCTTTTTGTTTCTCTAAAATCCCTCCTAAGTAGGCTAAGTAAATAAATAAATAAACATTAATAAATAAACAAATGCAGGTTTTTTGCCCTCCTATGTTTATGCCTTTTTGCAGCCCCACCACCGGAATTATTCGACCACGTCTGCGCCTGCGCACTCCTACCATTCATCTCTTTCTCTCTCTCTCTCTATCTCTGTCTCTCTCTCTCTCTCTCTCTCTTTCTCTCTCCCGTCTCGTGCAGACAGGAGAAACCAGCAGGCGGCTCCGGGCTCTCTAGCTCGCTCGCGCTCGCTGCCCGGTTGTCAAGGCACTTTGTGACTTCTCCTCGTTGCGGCTGGACGGTGACGGCTCAGATTGGCTCCCTCTCGGATTTTTGCCCGTTTGGATTTCTATATTTTGGTGTCACTGACGGACTCTCAGCTGCAAATTGCCAACACTGTAAGTTAGTTGATATTTTCTTTCTTTCTAACGATGTTGTTCCCCCTTTATTTTATTCTTGAGGCTGAACCAATGGGTCAGAGAAAAAATAAAGGCAGCAGTTTAAAGCTAATTTATTTTCTGTCGCTTGATCTTGGTCGACCAACCAATTCATTTTTCTCTCTTTTTGTATTGTTTCGCCACACGTCCTTGCTTTCGATTTTTTTCAGTGGCAAGAACTAAAAGAGGAACTTTGCACGTGATAAAACGTCAACTTTCTTTTTGTTGTGAGTCGCAGTATTCTCAGTCAGGGTTTGCGGAAGAGGCATGGTGTTAAAGTGAATTATACTGCGAAGAATAATAAGATGAGGAGACCAGACTTGCTGCTTTACCTCATCTCATAGCTCATCTTTCATAGCAGGTGTCTGATAGCCCACTTCCGCACTGCACTGCGAGATATCAATAGTGTGTAAACTCACTGTGCCTAAACATTTTCTCCAACTCTTGCTCGGTTATTCAAGTCCTCGCTAACTGAGTTGTTTGTTTCCTATCCGTAATATGTTTTTGTTGTTTCTTTGTTGCTTTTTCATCCTCCACAAGGCAGTGTTTTGGTGGATCTGAAGTAAGTTGTTGAAGCTGCGTGTTTCATCGCCCAGGTTATTTCCTCTCACAGTACACGCGACCCTCTGTGTTTTTGCGCGCGCGTGGTGTTGTGTTTGCATGCGCGCGCGTAATCAAGTGAATGGCAGCGGGAGGAAGAAATGTTGAACCGCTCTCTGTTCTTGCTGAACCAGCTTGTTGGCATACCTAAACAAACCTGTTATACTTAACGTAAACTAACACCTTATTTCTCGGTCATACAGCAACTGGAAAGGTCACAACAAGCATATCAGCTTGTCAGTGTACAAAGGTCTTCACGCCTACCTGTGCTGTATCATGCAAAACAGTTCCTCTTGGTGCTGTTGAAACCGATTTTTCAGCATTGCTCCATGTCTTGTGTCAAGTGTTTTGACTGCCTGGCTGATTGAACTGCATTTGCCCTCTGCTGTGGTCCAGTGGTTCTCACTGGTCTGTGCTGGTTTATCACTTCTTTAAGCCTGGTGGTCTCCAGGCTTGACTAATGGCCTGTTGCCTTTTGGTTATTTTTGTTTGCTCCACCCTGCTCCACCCTGTTTCATATGTACGAGGTGTCTCTGCTAACACACTTCAGCCACACCTGCCATGGTTGGACAGAAATGTAAGGTGTCTTTGTGTCATTGCCAAGCCCTTCTCCTAGATATAGGCTAATTGATTTATTGACTGGTAACACAGACCTCTTTAGTTGCCGCTTGTTACAGTCATATAAAGCTCTTCTTGTGCTTCCTACTGGGCTTTGTGAATGTATTACATCTTTGCTTTTGGTGTGTGTTTGTGTGTGTATGTGTGTGTGTGTCAGTGTGTGTCATTGTGTATGTGTGTGTGTTTGAGAGATTGTCAGTGATTTTGCATTGTTGCTTCTTTGTTTGTGAGCTTCTCTTTTCTGCGATTGAATGTGATGGACAAACATCCTGCAGCAGCCTTACAAAGTGAGCAGAGTACGAGAGATCAAGCAGGTTGAGAAAGTGTGTGTGTGTGTGTGTGTGTGTGTGTGTGTGTGTGTGTGTGTGTGTGTGTGTGTGTGTGTGTGTGTGTGTGTGTGTGTGTGTGTGTGTGTACCTGTAGGCTTTAGTGTGTATCCTCCAGGCACCCATGAGCACTTTCGCAGACCCTTTCTCATAAGCACTGACTTGGCAATGAACTCTCCATCAATATCGACGCAATAAGAAGATGAGAAGGAGGGAGAGTGAGCTGGTATTGTACGATCACAAAGCACAATCTTTCTTTGTCTCTTTCAGTATTTCTTATTTCTTTCTTCAGGCTTTGTTTTCTCATAGTATTTCTTTTTTTTATTTGTCTCTTCGTTTCTTTTGGCAAATCTTTTCTATTGACATTTGTATATTGTTTTGGCTCGTTTTTGTTTCTTTTCTTTTGGTACACTTTATTTTTATTATGTAGTTTTCTTCTTCATTTTCCCTATTCATCTGTGGGTTTGAGGGTGGGTGTTCATAATTTCTTTTGTGATTTCTTTTATCTTTTTGTTTATCATCTTTTTTTGCATTTGTTTTATTGTTTTTAGACATTATGAGAAAGTAGACATTAAAATGGTAAAAACAAAAGCTTATTTCCATTGACTTGGTTCTAAACATATAAAGCACAACTGATCAGAATTATAGAATCTTTTATAAATTGAGGGTTTTTATATTTAGCTTTTGGTGTTTGATTTTCAGGTGATTGAAACACCTACAAAGGATTATGATTGCTTCAGTGGATGGAAGTGGATTGGAAATGAATTTAATTTCCACTAATAACTTACTTGGGGCCCAGGGACCCAGATTAAGGACACATAGAGAACTGACAGCTGGGTACACTGAGCATGGTTGGCAAACACACACTCAAACGCAGACAGTGTAGCACACCCACAAACCAGAAAAATCACAATTTTGTCAGCTAAATTATTTAAGTCTACTCCACACTCGCTCAGGTAAACAAACACCATTTAGTTTGTTTTCAAGTCAAGTCCAGTCAGTTTCATTTATACAGCTTCAAATCATACATTTGCCTCACAGGGCTTTACAGTCTGTACAGCATAACACCCTCCATCCTCGGATCCTGAATTCTTGATTCTGAAAACTCCCAATGTTTCACAAGAAAAAAAGAGGACGCCTCAGGAAAAGCATCAGTTCTCTTCTAAAATTCAAAATGTCTGTTCTCTATGATTTTTCACTCCTAAGTTTCTCCTCTTCCTCTTGTCTGTCTGATGTCATCTCTGTATGTATAGCCAGTTGTAGCTCTTTTTTTTTCCATCCACATGTGTGTGCAGTGTCTGTTTTATGTACACCTGGGAGCAGTATCGTGGTCCCTCGGCTGCTGGGGTTCTGGTTTGCTTTATGTTATGTTCTTGGTTTAAACAGTTTAGAATCTCAGTGACACACACTCACTTGGAGACAACACACATGTAGCATCATGGGATGTCTCTTTATCCTGCCACTGCTTCTGCAGCGTGTGTGTGCATACCAGTGCCTATCAGCGAAACAGGAATCTGCCCACCAGTTCTCAGATTCTAGCATACAGCAGCACATTTAGAGTCTCATCTGGCAAGGAAATGTAGCACTAATCCAATTGGCTGGAGCTTTAGTAAAAGCTGTCCTAATTGGCTGCAGGCTGCCAAGGTTCCAGTAAGCACAAGAGGGAGTTGGGGAGAGTCCCAGTGGTGCTGTGGTGCAGACTGAACAAAGGGCAGATAGCAAGAGTGTGTGCTACTGTTTTGAATATTCCTCCATTTGGCAATAATAAAGGACCCCTGCTGACTCAGATCCATCCGGCTGACCATATCTCATTTTCACTGTGTTGTTTGACACACACACATGGAAATACACACATGCAAACACACTCGCCGCCTGCATTCCATCTGCAGGAACAGGAATAGCTTTGTCACACAAACATGTTTGAGGAAACATCTTCCCAACTGGCTAAGGAACAAAGCCATTAACACAGGAATATTGACTGTGTGTGTGTGTGTGTGTGTGTGTGTGTGTGTGGGTGTGTGTGTGTGTGTGTGTGTCTGTATGTGTGTGTGTGCATTACAAGAGGAAGAGTGGTTCTTTGCAGAGAAGAAAAAAATGCTGCTGCCAACAGCCACTGCAGCCGGTCCTGTTTCCTTTCACCTCAGTGTGGAATCCAGGAAGGAAGGACAGAGACAAGACAGGAGCGAGAGAGAGGGAGAGAGACAGACAGTGAGACAGAGAGTGTGAGAGATGGCCATGTAAGGTCTCATGCACCATAGCTTGCACCACTCCACACAAACACTGAACCTGAAATGAACTCTTCAAGGTTTGACCTCTCAAGTCACTGTTACGTTGAACTTTTGCTGCGTTACTACGAAACAAAGGCACCCTTCAGCATGAGATGCATTAGGGAATTTACAGAAACAATAGTGAGTTTTCCTGACGAATGGCTTGTTTGTTTTGCATTCACAATTCAAAAATACAATAACTGTCATTGATTAAAGCATTGTATCTGATGAATTAATTTCCCTGAGGGCTTTGATGTTTCAAAATAGGAGTTTTCTTTCCGTGAAAGGGAGGGCTCTGTCTGTAAACTTATGTTAAAAGAGTTGTAATGCCAGTTACAGTAGCTTGTTATGCAGGTGGCCTTGAAATGTCTTTTGGTTGACCACTCGTTATAAATCTTTTTCAAGAGATAACTTAAGTTGACCTGTACTTTTTTTTACTCTTTGAGCTTGTTTATGTACATTTAATATTTATTATTCATTTTCCATTTATGTGGATTCCTGTGGAGAATTAACCAGTAATGAAATTCATCATTCTATTGGATTTAGACAAAATAATCAATGTTTTGTCTCCTAGCATCTGATTGACATTTACTAACTTAATTTATTGCTGCAGTTGCGCATACACACACACACACACACATCAAAAACCCCAACACTCATTAGGCTTAATATAGAAGGTTAATTGTGAAATTAATGTAGAAGCAAACTGTATATGAAGCTGTTCAATCTATGATACACTGTTTTACACACTGAGTCCAATATTTCTTTAATTAGTCAGGCCAGTGAAGAAATGTGGTACACCTAGAATTGAAAATCAAATGTTGATATTTTTTATTATAAGCGAAATGCTCCAGATGTAAAGCACTTAGTGTGGGCTTAAACAGAATCCCTTTTCTGCAAAAAGAGGTGAAGATATTTTTGTTGTACTGACACATGAATTGTTATTTTTTTAACAGTGCAAATCCAAAATCTATAAATGATCTATAAGTGACACACAAGGTTCTTTGTGATCATTTACACACGACACACCTAATGTGTACACTTGTTCTTTTGACTGAATGAAGTGTGTTGAATTTTGACAAACCATGAGCCACACGTCTCTCAATTATTTGAGTAGCGGAAGTCCAGTGTCTACACATTCATTTTTAGT